CCTGTAAACACTGTACTGAATGAAAGAAGCCAAGTACAAGAGGACAAGTATTACCAGCGGCACAGAATCACTGCCACAGAGGAAAGGAGAAATGCAGCTAGGAATTCACGGCTTAGGGGAAGAGGAAATGGGAATTTATATATTTGCTACAAGGTTGTATTTGGGATGCTGGAGAGGTTCTGCAGTCGGAATGGTAGCAACAGTAGGACAGCAATGTGAATGTTCTTCATACTACTGAAAACCCTGTTCAAACAGGAACAAAACGCCCAACTTTGTTACGTTACATATGTTTACCACAATTTAAAACATAAGAAGAGTGAGGCACACACCTGAAATCCCAGCACCTGGGTAGTGAAAGGAAGACCAGAAGTTCAAGAACTGCCTTGGCTCCGTGAGAGCCTAATAAAACACCAGACTAAGGCAAGTTCCAGAAGCAAGAGTGTATTGGGTTTCCTGGGCTCCAGAGGGATAAGAGTCTGTCACCATCACGGGTGGAAGCATGGCAGCAGGCGGGCATGGCGACTGTAGCGACAAACTGCAAGCTCACGGTCTGAGTTCTCGAAAGAGAACACTTTAGAAATGACTCAACTTTTGTGGGTTTCTGTTGCTGTTTTGCTTTGTTTTGAGGCAAGATTTCTCTGTGTAGTCCTGGCTTGTAGACAGAAGCCTCTGTCCTGCCCGGTCCTGCAGCCGTTCAGCCATTCAGTCTCAAATCAATATACAGAGGCTTAGATTAATTATAAACTGTTTGGCTCAGGCTTATTATTAACTAGCTTTTTGTTTGTTTGTTTGTTTCTCTGTAACTTTGGAGCCTGTCCTAGAACTAGCTCTTGTAGACCAGGCTGGCCTCAAACTCACAGAGATCTGCCTGTCTCTGCCCGCCTCCCCCCCACCCCCCCACCCACCCCCCGCTGGGATTAAAGGCGTGCGCCACCACCGCCTGGCATAACTAGCTCTTACGACTTAAATTTCACCTATAATCCTTGTCTGTGGTTAGCCACGTGGCTTGGTACCTTTTCTCAGTAAAATATTCCCATCTGGCTGATGACTGACTCTCTTGTGGGGACCCACAGAAGTGAGCCCAGTTCCACCTTGACTAAAGGTCAGAGAGTTTGAGCTTATCTTACTCTTTCAAAGTTGTTGACAACAAGTGTGGCTACAAACAAGAAATCCTGACCTAGGGTGTGGTTACTTGGTGTTCTGGACTTTAAGACTGCCCATAGAGGTAGATCTGCTCCACCCTGACCAAAGGTCAGAGAATTCAAGCCTGTTCCTGCTCCTTCATTTTTTTTTAATATTTATTTATTATGTATACAATATTCTGTCAGTGTGTATGTCTGCAGGTCAGAAGAGGGCATCAGACCCATTACAGATGGTTGTGAGCCACCATGTGGTTGCCGGGAATTGAACTCAGGACCTTTGGAAGAGCAGAAAATGCTCTTAACCACTGAGCTATCTCTCCAGCCCCTGCTCCTTCATTTTAAAACAGGAGGCTTGACATAGGGAGTGGCTGCTTACAGGATACTTGGTCTAGGATGCACACCCTGCATATCCTGCCCCAAACATCAAATGCTTTACTCAGGGAATAACAGATGTCTCAAGTATTGAAGCCAGTAACTGTTCTGGTTGTCCTTCAAGTCATGCTAAAGCCTTCTTCCCCTTCTGGATTGGGGTACATAGACGTACGGAAAATAAATGCTGGCTGATTCAGGGCTCAGTATTCACTGAATTTCCCTCCCAATGATGTTCTGTGTTTCTGTCTCTCATTTCTCCCAAATCTCTGTTCTTTTTGCTTACTAATTCTAATCCTGATGCAACATGCAAATTTTGTCAAGGCTAGACCCCGACACTCTCTGCCTTTCCTCTTCCCAGAATTCTCTTAGTCTGGTCACCCCACCTATACTTCCTGACTACTGGCCAATCAGTTTTATTAAACTAATAAGAATGACAAATCTAGCGGTGATGGCGCACACCTTTAATTCTAGCACTTGGGAGGCAGAGGCAGGCGGATCTCTGTGAGTTCGAGGCCAGCCTGGTCTACAAGAGCTAGTTCCAGGACAGGTTCCAAAGCTACAGAGNGTTCCAAACCCGATTCCAAAAGAACACAAAAACCCTGTCACAAAGAAAAAAAAAAAAAAAAAAAAAAAAGAATGACAAATCTTTACAGTGTATAAGAGCATTATCCCACAGCACTGGCTATCCTAGAACTTGCTCTATAGAGCAGTAGACCAGGCTGGCCTTGAACTCAGAGATCTGCCTGCCTTGCTTCTTGAGTTTTGGACTTAAGGGGTGTGCCACCACAGCCCAGCAGATGACCAGAGTATTTTAACTCCCAAAGCCTGCCTCCAACTGACATACTTCCTCCAACAGGGCCACATCAAACAGCGCCGTAAACTGAGGAATAAGTGTTCAAATGCTCAAGACTATAAGGGACATCTCATTCAAGACATCACAATTACCATATGGCAATCCTATATTTAATATTTAGCATCTTGAGAAATCTCCATACCATTTAACAATACCCATACCACAAGCAACACTCAACAGTTCCAATTTCTCTGCATCCTTAAATTCATCCGTGTAGTTACTTTGGCCTTGGAGTTTTATTTCTCTATAACAACTATCCTTGCTGATAGGAAGCAGTGGCTCACCCTAATTTGCTATTTGTGTTTTTGAGACATGTAAACCAGACTGTAAATTCAGAGAGATATGTTGTGGAACAATTTTTGTACATTGTAAATATGTATTACTCTCATTGGTTAAAAAAGAGCTGATTGGTTCATAGCTGGGCAGGAAGAGACTGGACGGAAAAGCCAGACTAGAAGGACACTGGGAAGAAGGGTGGAGTCTCAGAAGTTGCCAATCAGACACAGAGGAAGCGGGGGTATTATGAAATGAGGTAACAAGTCATGAGTCACGTGGTAGAACTTAATAAGAAATATGGGTTAAGTTGTAAGAGCTAATTAGTAATAAGCCCGAGCTATTGACTGAGCATTTATAATTACTGTTGAGTCTCCGTGTTGGTTATTTGGGAACTGATGGGTAGGAAAGAAAAGTCTACTTACAGAAATCCACCTGCCTCAGTCTCTCAAGTGCTAGGATTAAAGACCTACCCCACCATACCCAACCCAGTTACTTTTTGAGACACACGGTCTCACTTAACCTGGAGCTCACTGATTTGGCCAGACTGGCTAGCCAGCAAGCTCCCAGGATCCTATCTCTGCCCCTCCCAGCACTTGGATTACAGGTATGCACTTGCACACTTGGGTTTTATATACGTGCTAGGGACTGAGCTCAGGTCCTCACCCTACCAATGGAGCCTGTGTGTATCTGAGTGTGGATATGCACACAGAGCTGTGGATACCCAAGGAGGCCAAGGACATCTGGTCCCCCTGGAGCTGAAGTCACAATGACACCAAATTCAGGTCCTCTGCATTCTTAACTACTGAACCACCCCTCTGCCTCACTTTGACCTAAAATAAAATTTAACTTGAGTTGACTGGGATATTTTGTTGTTTTGTTTCCTTGCTTGTTACAATACAATACTTTCAACATGTTAAAAACCATCCTGAGTACATACTCGCTAACAAACAGTCATTGGGGGCCGAAGAATGGCACAGCAGGTAAAAGAATATATTGCTCTTTCAGGGGACCCACGTTCAGTTCCCAGCATCCACATCAGGCAACTCATAACTAATTCTAGATCTCACTCACATATTCACACACATACACAAATTAAAAGTAATAAACTAGGGGCTGGAGAGATGGCTTAGCAGTTAAGAGCCCTTGTTGCTCTTGCTGAGCTCGAACTCTATAAGCTGAAGTTAGCCTTGAACTCCTGATTCTCCTCTCTCCAGCTCCCAAGTGATAGCATTACAGGCTTGTACCACCATGCCCAGCCCGGTGGGCATTACTTTTTATCCGATGAACTTCCCCTGCCTATACTGTTAGAATTACCATTCAATCCAGGAGTAAGCAACAGAAACCTTAAGTACATCTTGATCTGTCTCACTCCGGGCACCTTGATCAGCACTTAAAATAAGTGGAGCGCCAGGCAGTGATGGCGAACGCCTTTAATCCCAGCACTCGGGAGGCAGAAGCAGGCAGATCTCTGTGAGTTCAAGGCTAGCCTGGTCTACAAGAGCTAGTTCCAGGACATGTTCTAAAACTACAGCGAAACCCTGTCTCGAAAAACAAAACCAAATAACTAAATAAATAAAAAGCGGGGGAAAAAACAGAGCTCTCTGGGTCCTAGATTTCAACGCCAAATCCAGGGCAGGAGGTGCTGAGGGGGGAGCGAAGAGTCTAGAGAACTGTCTTTTCTTCCCTCCCAGGCTCCACCTAAAGTTGAAACAGTTTAGAAACTGAAACGCCTCCATACACGCTGTGCAACTGCTGTTGCGCAGGCGCAAAATAGCAGTCCTGTCTCTCATATTCGAACTGGCCTCCACACACATTGGCGGCTTCAGGACAGCGCAGTCACACAGTTCTCAGTCCTCGGTGCCTCCCTTCCTCCCTTCCGAACGAGGTCCTTACGCCTTTCAGGAAATGCCCAGCACCCCCCCTCCACTCCCCACTTTGTAGGCATTAGGCCGGTACTCGCTCCCAGGCCGGGATAGGGCGGAGCCTAGAGAGCCGGGACCTGGCGCGGCCCAGGCGCAAGGACCGAAGAGCCGCCATGCCTTTCAGGTTCTCACCTCTTTGTCTGCCGCCTTCTCCTCAATGCCAAGCAGCGCGTACAGATCCATCTGTAAGAGCTCTTTAGTCACCGCCATGGTTCAAGCCTTGTCCGAATTGATACTACAATTCCCAGGAGTCTGAGCGCGCGCAGGGAGGGGTACGGCTTGGAGCCGGCCAACCGCGCTAAGCCCCCTGGGAATCGGCGCGATCCAGTTTAGGTTTGACTGACTGTGGAGGAGCGCGCCGCGGAGAATGAACTACGACTCCCAGCATCCCACACTCCGCGGCCGCCCGCGCCGGAGTGAGCCGAAAGTCAGAATTCCCCGCCCTGGGCGGCCGCTGCCTGGCGCAGGTGGGCGTGTAGGGCAGGGCTGCAGAGGCTGAGGGTCTGAGCGGCCTGCCCCTGCGGTGGTGATCTGCCCTCCGGATCTGCGTCGCCGAGAGACGCCATGGAGAGCAGGTGCTACGGCTGTGCTGTCAAGTTCACCCTCTTCAAGAAGGAGGCGAGTGTTCTCCTGGAGAGCTGGAGGGCCAAGGGAGGACGCGGGCGAATCGGGCAAGAGCTGGACTTGCAGGCCCAAGACCCAGTTTGACGGTTTCTTTCTAGTGGCGTGGTTTTGACGAAGTAACTCAGTTAACATTTCTGTAAGGTGGGGCGAACGCCCACTCGTTTTCGGAGTTAAGATGATGGTCTGGCTCTGCGGGTAAACGCACTTGCCGCTAAGCCTGATGACCTCGGTTCGAACCCCAAGGAGGAGAGAACTCCCGCAAGTTATTCTCTGATCTCCACACACGTGCCGTGGCATGCACATGTTAACACACACACACACACTCACAAAGAAATAATGTAATTAAGATAAAATTCCTAAGGGGCTTTGGTGAGGCGCTGGAGCTGAAAGTACCCTATAAATTATAACGTGTCAGTTTCCAGAAGCTACACTTTTTCCCCCTTCTTTACCGCCGAGTGGAGTATCTGCCTCCTGCTTCTTCCTGCCCTCCTTTTTCTCCATCTCTGTCTTTAATATCCTATGACTGCTGTGGGTCACACCATGCCCGTTACTCTCTGTTCTGAAACCTGCGCTTTGGCAGCCTCCCCTTCTCCAGGTTAGATTTCAATGCTTCCTCTTCCCCCCAGGGTACAATGGAAAGGCCTTGTTCTCAGCACAAACTTACCAGGTTCTCCGTGTAAGCTTCTGGGGAGATAGTGGGAAATAAATGGGGTGAATTCATGGCATGCAGGAATGGGGCACTTGAGGAGCGTGAATTTTGGAGTCAGGGTTCAAATTTCAGATGCCCTGTCTTATGCACAGAAAGACCTCCACTGAACAAGTCATGTGGTTTCTCTGGCCTCTGTTAAAATAGAGATGCTAATGGTGGGTGTCAGGATCAAATACGATAATGTGTATGAATTATGACGGTTAGATCCACGCTAGCACACACTAAATACTTAGTAAATGAAGCTATTGTTCCCACCCTATCCTGAGCCAACCCGCTCACCATCTTGCCAGAGCAGAGAAAGCAAGGCATCTGCCCTCTGGTTCTCTTTTGTTGACTAGCCAGTGCCCTGACTCACAGGGCTTTGTGTGTCCTTGTTCTTCACCCTGTGGTAAGAACCGAAAGTGGTAGAGAGCATGTGAGCCTTGGCTGAAATTTTATCTGCTTTGAACAAGAGTCTGGGATCCAAGGGGTTGCCCTACCCTATCCCTCCCTGGACCCAGGGATCCCATTTCTCTCCCTCCCTCCAACATCTGGTCACAACTTCAGTTTCTTTCTGTGAGTGCTTAGAGAGTCCCAGAGAAGAGCTGCAGGGGCGGGTGAGAGATGGATCCCCCTGCTTCTTGTTTCTTCCAGTACGGCTGTAAGAACTGTGGCCGGGCCTTCTGTAATGGTTGTCTTAGCTTCAGTGCTCTGGTACCTCGGGCCGGCAACACTCAACAGAAAGTCTGCAAGCAATGCCACACGGTTCTGACCAGGTGAGAGATGGGCATGGGCAAGGGTTCAGACAGACATGACAGTAAGCATCTGAGCAGGCCTTGTGGCCACAGGTCTGTCTAGGAAGTATTTGGGGTAGAAATCACTGATGTGGGGTGATGGGCTTTTCTCATACAAAATTCCCTCTCTAGAGGACCTTCTGACAATACCTCCAAGTGGTCGCCGCCTCAGAACTACAAGAAGTAAGTACTGAAAAGAGGACCAGTGGGGACGGCAAAGGACAAGGACACCAGTAGCAGGGCTCTTCTTCCGGTCTCCAGATCAGATGGGTGCAGGATAAAGAGAATGCCCAACTCAGGCTCCTGTGTCCCTCTTAGATTCTAAAAGCCGCTCATTGATCTCTTCTCAGAAAAGGCATTTGGGAGCTCTTTCTCTGTCGGGAGTACCCTACACTTGATCAGCTAGGGTGGGCGGCAGTACCACATGAATAGAGGCATAGAAGACTGCCTCTGGAGGCCCCGACTGATTTGGATGGGTGCCTTCAGTCTTCCCCTTTGCCTTAAGAGTGTCTACCTCATATCCTGCCAGGCGTGTGGCAGCCCTGGAAGCCAAGAAAAAGCCCAGTACTTTCCAGAGCCAAGACCAAGCCATCGCTGATCGCCTAGCACGGCTCCGTCAGGAAAATAAGCCCAGTGAGTTTAAGGGCACAGGAGACCTAAAAGGCATGGTGCAAGGGCTTGGGACTGCGCTGCCTCCGGCCCTTACAGATCCTCTGCTTGCCAATTGCAGAGTCAGTACCCTCGCAAGCAGAGATAGAGGCACGGCTGGCTGCACTGAAGGATGAAGTCCAGGGTTCCATCCCTTCCACACAGGAGATGGAGAATCGGCTTGCAGCCTTACAGGGCAGAGCACCACCTTCTCACGTGAGACCGGTGAGTGTTATGGCTTGGGAGAGAAGGGTTTCCTAGGGCAAGCACCCTACAGAAGCCCAGATACATGTATGGTCATGTGCTTTGCAGGAGTTAGCAAAGCCTCCCACCCCTACCTCCTGAGCCTTAGGCCTGCTCTCAAGCCAAAGAACAAGTGCCAAGCAGCAGGACTGAGTGCGGCAGCAAAGAGGATGCTCAGTCCTGTGGGGAGCTGCCAGACCTACTCACCTGTGTGGACCTTGAATCCATCCCTTCCCATGGGCTTTGAAAACTCTTCAGCATCCACCCCTGACCCAGGCTTCTTCTGGACTTCTGGTGTAGCCTTCCCCGTACCCCTATTCTCCACTGAGGTTCCCTCCTCTGCACAGGCACACCAGGCACCAGATACCAGGACCCAGGCTCAGCAGACGCAGGATCTGCTCACACAGCTGACAGCTGAGGTGGCTATTGATGACAACTGGGAACGAAGAGGCCCAGGTAACCTTCCACTTGGCTTCTCCAAAGTTATGCCCTGCCTCTTCTGCCTACCCTCTTGGGAGATGAAGATGAGTTAGAAAATGGTCAAGACTAAAGAACTGTGTACTGAGTGCTTGCTCTAGGAGCCAGTGTAGGCCTCTAGAATCCAGTCTCGAGATGGGGAATTCCAATCCCACCACCCTAAATGAGTTCCTTTACCTATCTAAATCTCTCTACTCTGTAAACTCAAGCTATATGTGATAAAGACCTGTCTCGTACTAGAAGCCATGAGAAATAAATGGAGTAATACAGTAAGTGCTTGGGTCGCCTGGCTCATGGTGGGCGCTTAGTGACTGTTGTCTGCAGTAAAGGCACTGGGGATGGGAGGATGGGGAAGAGGCTTAAACTAAAGGAGTTAGGTTTCAGTTGCCTCCTTCTGCCAGCCACATTTCAACCGTTGGTACCCACGTGAGCTTGCACAGACACCATGGACAGCGTGAATGTAGGTCATGCTGTGGAGCGCTCCCGCACTGCAGGAGTGATGGACAGTGGCACCTGGAGACCCTAGAGCAGCGTTCCCACTAGGGATGAGTTTTACCTTAGGGCACTTTTGGAATGTTTAAAGACATTTCCGTTGTCACAGTCACAGGCACTCCTGCCATCTGGTAGGTGGGAGACAGGGATGCTGCTGGGCACCCGATCGTGCAGTTGTCAGCTTCCCGCCCCCAAGAGGAAATTGTCCCCTTAAACGTATCAAAAGAACTAAGATTGATAAACTGTTCTATAGACATAGTCTCAGTGGGTGTACATGTAACTGAAGAAGCAGACTTGGTAAGCTTAGGGACTTGGCATACAGCCTTTAACTGGCAGGGACGAGCCTTCTACAGAAAGCTATTTTTGTTTTTGTTTGTTTCATTTTATGAGACAGGCCTCAGGTAGCCCTTGTGTGGCCGGCCTTAAACTTGCCGTGATCTTCCTGCTTCCACCTCCCAACCGCTGCCATTACAGGAGTGCACTGTCGTGGCCAACTTGGTTTTAAAGCTCTTGCTCTTGACTAAAGGTGACCACGTCAGGGCCACATCCACTCTGATAAAATTTCTTCTTGCCCATTGTCTAAGACTGCTGCTTCTGTCAGGACCTCTTGCTGTTGCTCCCAGAGAATGCTAATTCCAGCCCTGAAAGACATAGACTAGCTAAACCTTAGCCTCCCGTATCCTGATCCTTCAGGGCAGTGAGTCTCAAGCCATAGGATAGCCACCTTCTGTTAACTAGGGAGGTGGAGGCTGATGCATTTGAAAAATACATGATTAAAATTACTAGTTTTGCCAGGCGTGATTAAAATTACTAGTTTTACAGGCACACACCTGTAATCCTAGGAATTGTGAGGCAGAGGCAAGAAGATCAAGAATTCTAGGCCAAACTGGGTGATGGTGGCACACTCCTTTAATCCCAGCACTTGGGAGGCAGAGGCAGGTGGATGGATCTCTGTGAGTTCGAGGCCAGCCTGGTCTATAAGAGATAGTTCCAGGACAGGCTCCAAAGCCACAGAGAAACTCTGTCTCAAAAAACCAAAAAAAAAAAAAAAGGAAGAAATAACAATTTTGTCTATAGTATAAGCCTAGTACTGAGCAAAAAAAAATGATAACATATAGTTAAAAATTAGTTGAGAAATGGGTTCAGTGGCTTCTGGAGTGAGATCTTGGAATTTTTCTGCCTTCCTAATTGTATTACCTCTTCCAGTGACCCCCCTCCAGAATGACCTCAACAAGGGAGGTACAAGGAAGGAGCACACAAATTCCCCAGGTCAGGCCAGCTCATCCCTGGAGGAGGAGAAGAGCAGGCTGCTGGCTGAGGCAGCAGTTGAGCTACGGGAGGAGAACACCAGGCAGGAACAGATCCTGGCTCTGGCCAAAAGATTGGCTGTACTTCAGGGACAGGACCCCAGCAAAGGTAAAGGCTTGAGCCAGCCTCCTTATTCAGGCCCCCTGGCCAAGACCTGCTGCTACCTCAGATTACACTTCCCCTGCCAGTACTAAAGCCGGTACTCAGGGTCCCCGTGCCAGAGGATCTGTGTCCTGTCCAGAACCATGAGATAGAATGGGGCAGAGCAAGGAATGAGGGCTCTGAGGCAGCCATAACGAAGCCATGGGACCTTCAATGCCTCCCTACTGCCCTCTACTCTCACGGCTGACGCCCAGCCTTGCAGGGCTAGAGTAAGGAAGCGTGGGAGCAGGAGCTTGATTCTCAGCTCCGAAACAGGTGCCCCCAGGGAGCCAACAATTCTAGAAGACAAGAGGGCAGCCATCTGGTGAAATATCTCACCTCCCTCCGTCCTCTGTTCCTGCCCCCCTCACTCAAGTGAGCCTCCAGGACTATCGCCTACCAGACAGTGATGAGGAGGAGGATGAAGAGACAGTCATCCAGAGACTCCTGCAGCAGGTAGCCTTGTTACCCACCCATCACCCTTCTTCTGCTGCTGCCTCAGTGTTGCCTCACTCCCTGGCCTCTAGCGCCACATGAGTGATTGTTCCACAGCTCCAATTTTAGTTGGGATCCATTTCCTACCTCAAGAAACCAAGAAGGTATAGCAGGAGGTAAAGGGTGAAGCTGAGAAGTTAGGCCACAGAACACTGGGAGGGGAGCCTGGGCCTAGAGCAGGAAGTAGTTCTCTTCCTCCCTGTTCACAGCTCACTGAAGAAGCTGCCCTGGATGAGGCAAGTGGCTTTAACATCCCTGTGGAACCAACTCCCCGAACCCAGGCCCAACCCCGCAGGGCCAAGACTGAGGTGAGAAAAGCCCCACACAGGCATCCCCACGCTTGCCACACACAGCCTTGCACCTGGCTCACTGCTCCAGCTGTACCTAACTCCCCCATTCCTCTCTTCCTGAAGCCCCAGGCCGAGGAGGAAGAGGAGGAGCTCCCCTGGTGCTGCATCTGCAATGAGGACGCCACCCTGCGCTGTGCTGGCTGCGATGGAGACCTCTACTGTGCCCGGTGCTTCCGGTGGGTGCAGGTAGAGTGTTCTGGGGGTAGACTGAGCTTGGCTTGAGGGCTGCCAAGATCTCTGCCATTCATCCTTTGCTCCCCAGGGAAGGTCACGATAACTTTGATCTTAAAGAGCATCAGACTTCTGCATACCGCCCCCGAACTCCTGGCCGAGAACACTAAGAAAACCCCGATGACCTCCTGAGGTGGCAGTGCCACGGGCAGCCAGCAGGCTGGGACGGCCACCTGGGCCTGGTCTCGGGCCAGCCAGTGGGATAGCAGATGCAACTCTACTGATGGCAAACACACTGTGTTTTGAGCTTCACAGTCCCTGTAAGGAAGAAAGAGTCCATTGAAGAGAATGAGTCTTAGAGGAGCCAGAGGAAAGGAGGAGTAAGGGTCCTCAAAAGCCTGACCTGAAACCGAGAGGTGGATGGGGAAGACCACACTGAATCTAAGGATGAGCCCTGAAACCTGGTTCCAGGGCCCAGCCCTGGCCTGTAGTGAATCTAATAAAATATGTTATTGGGTCAGTGGCCCCAGAATTTTTTTTTTCTGTACTGGGGATTGTATCTAGGGCCTTGTACATGCTAGACAAAGACTCTATCCCTGAACTACATCCTTAGCTCCAGACTTTTTATTTGTGAGTTTGTTTCTGGGAGTACTGGGGATTGAACCCACACCTCATACATGCTACATGTGTGCTCTACCACTGACCTGTACCTCCAGGCGCCCAGCACCATCTACATCCAGAACCCTGTGGCCCTTGAGGCCTGTGAGAGGTGCTAAGAACACAGTAGAGTAGAAGCAGACTCCTGTGGAATTCACAAAAGGTTCCACTGTGCTGTAAGCTCCCAGCAAGGACAGTCCCACCATGAGTCCTGGTGGTCTTTGAATTCCCAACACCTGTTGGCTGGGGATGAGGATGATGGATGAATGCTGTGGGCACAGCCAAGGGACTTAGGATGTTGGTCTTCCAAGCTAGCACTGCCCCTCTCCTATCCCCCACCATAGACACACACCACACTCCACACACTTAGCTGGTTTCCTAAAGTTTTTATCCTGGCTGCCAAGGGAAGCATTAGGCAACAGCCACAACTGACTCCCAGAGCACCCAATAGAGAGAGCCCAGCTGTGTCTGCACACACACTTGGGCTATCCAAGTGTCTCTCCTTGTCTTCTGCATCCCTTGTCAGCCAGTATCCAGATCAGGGCTGAGGCTGCAGAATATGCTCTCTCCAGCATTATTTCGAAGGCCTGCTGAGTCTCCGAAGTTTCTTGAGTTGACTGAGCAGCTCAGAGATAAAAGACTGTGGGAGAAAAAGCAATGAGATCAAACAAGAAGTCACAGTCACCATGCTGCCCTCCTTAATCTGTCTTCGAATGTCCCCCAGAGCAAGAAAAGGAAAGAATTGTCAAGCGTCAAGCTTCCCTTTCAAATGTTCCTCTTTATTCATCCTAGCCTCCCCTGTTCAGCCTCCTCCCACTGTGGAAACAGAATATGCCTTACCTCTGTGTCACAGGGGCAGTCTCGGAGAATGGCCTGAAAGAGAGCAAGGTGAACTAAGACATGACTTCCCCACAAGTGCCTATCAGTCTCCAAGATCCCTCCCCTGTAACTTGGTTCTTTGCAGCTGGCAGTTAGCTCAGTTGGTTAGTGTGGCACTGTGAATTGGTACTCAGGACACCCAGGGAAACAGGACCTAAGCTCCCAGCCCAACTTCAGTCCCCAGCTTCCATCCTACCTCCAACTGAGTCCTCTGTTCCTCTGTGGATAGTTCCATGAGCGCTTCCAGATCAATTTCAGGCTCTGAAGGAGCTTCTTGACTCTAGTTGAGAGTAACAGAGAGATCTGACCCCCTGGTGCAAGAACCCAGCTCTGCCTTCAACTGCTCATCTTCCATATTGATCCCCTCCTCAGCTTACTCAGAATGCTCATTAGTTATCTATCCAATAAGCATTTACCAAACACCTGCTGTGCTCTGTGTGAAAGTGTTAAGAGTTACTCAGGAAGAGGGTCTTCGCCCGGGCCTGTGATGTCAGTCCTAGGCAGAGGAAAGCAGATCATGAGTTCCAGAGCAACCTCAGAGTGAGACCTCGTCTCAGGGAAGAGATGGCTCCCAGGAGATGGCTCAACTTAGACTTGAGAGTGAGTCCTTGTCTCAGGAGGGGATGGCTCCGGGGAGACATCTCAGCAGATAAGAGCACTAGCTGCTCTCCCAGAGAATCTGAATTAGATTTTTTCAGCACCCACATGGAGGCTGCAACTGTCTGCAACTCCAGTTCTAGGGTTTCCTGCACCTTTTCCTGTAGTCCCTTGGGTACCAAGCATTTGGAGAACAAATACACATGCAGGCTAAATACCTATACACATAAAATAATAAGATACTTTTCTGAGTGTGGTGGTGCACACTTTTAATTCCAGCACTCGGGAGGCAGAGGCAAGTGGATCTCTGTGAGTTTGAGGTCAGCCAGCCTGGTCTTCACAAGAGTTCTGGGACAGCCAGTGTTATGTAGAAAGACCAGTCTCAAAAAAAAAAAAAAAAAAAAAGTGCCAAGCAATGTGGCACACACCTCTAATCCCTGCACTTGGGAGGCAGAGGCAGGCAGCTCTCTGTGAGTTTGATGCCAGCCTGATCTACAGAGCGAGTTTCAGAACAGCCAGAGCTACATAGAGAAATCCTGTTTCAAAAAACAAACAAACAAACAAAACCTCTTAAAACCCTAAAATAGGAAGATGGAAGCTTAGGAGCTGGGCATGGTGGTGCATGCCTGTAATCCCAGTATCTGGGATGTAGAGACAAGAGGATCAAGAGTTCAAGACAACCCTTGGCTACATGGCAACTTCAATGTCCATTTAGGCATTGACTAAGACCCCATCTAAAGGGCAGGAGGAGAGCTAGAGAGAGGGCTAAAAGCACTGGCTGCTCTTCCACAGGATCCAGGTTCTATTCTCAGGACTTGTGTAGTATAAGCAGAGCACCAACTCCCACAGTTGTCCTATGACCTCTTCTATATGTGCACCGCAGATGTGTGGATACATACAAATAAATAAATGTTATTAACAATTAAAATGGGCATGGGGCACGGCAGTGAGTGCTTGTAATCCTAGCCCTGGGAAGGTAGAGACAGGTAATGTGTGGGGCTTGCTGCTAGCCAGCCTAGCCCACTAGTGAGTTTCAGGCCAATGAAAGACCCTGTACTTCGGGGGGGGGGGGGGGGGGGGGGGGGGGGGGGGGGGGGGGGGGGGGGGGGGGAATGCCCAGTGTGGTGGTTCATGCCTTTAATCCCAGCACTCAGAGGGTAGAGACAAGCAGATCCCTAAGAGTTGAAGGTCAGCCTGGTCTACACAGCTAGTTCCAGACCAACTAAAGCTGTATAGTGAGAACCTGACTCATAAAACATCAAATGGAGTCCTTCTAGATAGCTCAAGATGATCCCTAATTTGCTATCCTTCTGCCTCAGCCTCCTGAGTACTGGGAATATAGGTGTGTGCCACCATACCTAGCTGAATATTTTATAATCATTGTTTAAAGTGTGTGTGTGTGGGAGAGAGAGAGAGAGAGAGAGAGAGAGAGAGAGAGAGAGAGAGAGAGAGAGAAGGAGAAAGAGAAAGAAACATAGACATAGATGTGGGGTCAGAGGACAGCTTGCGGACTTGGGTTCCCAGGACCAAGCTCAGGTAGCCCGTCTTGCACAGCAAGCACCTTTACCGCCCAACCTCCTCGCCAGCCCCCATCTGTACTTTTCTCTAGTGGTTTCCAAGTTTCTGTTTCCCCATTTGGCTGCTTAATCATTTGGAATCTGCCTTTCTAGAAGCATGTGTCTAGCCGTTGCTGTGAACTTGGCACTATGAACTGGGGAACCTCAGTGAACAAAGACCTTGACTTCACACAACCTCCATATTATGGCAGTTAATGAGTCATAGCATAGATAAGGAGCCAGACCAGATGGCACACCAGTGTAAGGTGTAATCTTCGTAAAGCTGAGACGGGGCTGCTGTGAGTACGAGGTCACCTTGGATTATATATACAGTAGAAGACCCACCATCATGTCTCAAAACACAAGGAAAGCTGGTAACAACAGCAGCAACAAAGCCGGAGACAATAGCAAGTATATAATTTGCTTAAATTATATTAAATAAAATATATTAAAATGATAGCAATTAAATTACATAATTTGTTTAAAGGCAAATGTTATTTAAGGAACTTCTTGGGTGATGGAAATATTTCTTACCTTGAAGATGTAACATTTTATAAAGGAAAAAATACCCCTCTATTGTCTTTTTTGTTTTGTTTTGCTTTAGTTTGGTTTGGTATGGTTTGGAGCCTGTCCTGGAACTCTTTCTGTAGAGCAGGCTGACCTCGAACTCACAGAGATCTGCCTGCCTCTGCCTCCCAAGTGCTGGGATTAAAGGCGTGTGCCACTACCCCCTGGCTCACCCTCTGTATTTTTATGCACACTGCAAAAGGGCACATTTCACTCTATGTCAGTTTATATTCAATAAAACTGACTTTGTAAATTGTAAATAAAACAGATCAAATGAAGTAGCAAAAAGGAAAATAAGCCTTATCTACCTTCTTGCTCCTCTCACTAACATGTAACACTGTTAACACTTGAAGACGTCTGTACTTTTTAAAAATCAATATTTCGGGGGCTGGAGAGATGGCTCAGAGGTTAAGAGCATTGCCTGTTCTTTCAAAGGTCCTGAGTTCAATTCCCAGCAACCACATGGTGGCTCACAACCATCTGTAATGGGGTCTGGTGCCCTCTTCTGGCCTGCAGGCATACACANGTTCAATTCCCAGCAACCACATGGTGGCTCACAACCATCTGTAATGGGGTCTGGTGCCCTCTTCTGGCCTGCAGGCATACACACAAACAGAATATTATATACATAATAAATATTTAAAAAATAAAATAAAAATCACTATTTCTTGAGTTCTCCCTTCCCCCTAAGCTCTCGACGCCCTTCACTTCTGCCTCCTATAACTCGTCTCTTTCAGCCCTCACACACTTTAGAGATGCTTATTAAAGGCACACTGTGTATCAAAGGTGACAATGAGTCTTAGGGCAAGACAGACAGCACGATCCTGCCCTTGAAAAGCCAAAGACAAGTGAAAGAGCAGTTACACGGTGGCAACAGAAAAATGTCGCGATGAGAGACCATAGGAGGACACGGAACGGAAAGCTCACCAAGCAGGGGCCAGGGAGAGTCCTGGAAGAAGCAGCCTCTGCAATCTGGAGAGTAAAAATTAATGAGATATCGGGAAGTTCAGCCTGGAGTGCTTGCCTAGCTTGCACAAAATCCTGACTCAGTCCCCAGGACCAGCAGAAACCCAGGACACTTATAATCCCAGCAAGGAGGTAGATGAAAGGTCAGCCTGGGCTACTAAGCCTGAAACAAGACTCTCCAAAACAAACAAACAAACAAACAGACAGACAAAAAAACTTAACCAAATCCTTATGCTCATCATCTTGGGGGGGTGTGGGGGGAACAGGACTAGGTGATTCTCATACTGTAGGTAACTAGGTAGGAAAGTGCACAAAATGTACAAACAAAAGTCAGAGGTCACGGCACACAATGTAGTCTCAGAAAATGGGAAGCTAAGGCAGAAGAATTGCTAGAAGCTTTAAGGGCTACATAGCAGGTAAAGGCCAGCAAAATTCTCCTTAAAAAATAAAAACAAGCCGGGCGATGGTGGCGCACGCCTTTAATCCCAGCACTCGGGAGGCAGAGGCAGGCGGGATCTCTGTGAGTTCGAGACCAGCCTGGTCTACAGAGCTAGTTCCAGGACAGGCTCCAAAGCCACAGAGAAACCCTGTCTCGAAAAACCAAAAATAAATAAATAAATAAATAAACAAACAAACAAACAAACAAACAAGCTGGGCGGTGGTGGCAGACGCCTTTAATCCTAGCATTTGGGAGGCAGGGACAGGTGGATCTCTGTGAGTTCGAGGCCTGTCTTAAAAAACAAACAAACAAAACAAAAGACCCTGATCAGTCCTGGTAGCACACACCTTTGATCCCAGCACTCAGTCTGATCTCTCTGGGTTCAAGGCCAGTCTGGTCTATATAATGAATTATATAATGAATTTTAGGCTAGCCACCGCTACATAGTGGGACCCTATCTGGCTGGGAGGGAGAGGTATGAAGGGATGGTTTGGCAGATAAAGGCGCTAACCTCAGTTTGATCCCCAGATCCCACAGTGGAAGGAGAAAACCAATTCCTGCAAAGCTGTCCTCTGATCTCTACATGTGCATACACACACACACAGAACACACACACTAATCAAATAATTTTGGAAAAACAAAAGCAACAGGTGTGGTGGAACAGTCAAGAATCAAGGCAGGAAGATCAGAGGTTCAGGATCATTCTTGGCTACAAAGAAAGTTTGAGCTAGCCTGTGCTACATGAGACTGTTTCAAACAACACAGAAGATGGGAGGCTGGAGAGATAACATCTACAGTGCTTGTCACACAAGCATGAGACCTGAGGCTGGTCCCCAGCGCCTCCATAAAAAGCCAGCCTGTGTCAAGTATCGGTAATCCCAGAAGGAAAGCAGAGTTTGGAGGACCCCTGAGCCTTGCTGGTCTGCCAACCTTTCTAATCGGCAAGGTCCAGGTCACAGTAAGAGACCCTGTCTCAGACACACAAGGTGTGGACAGGGCTGGGACGATGGCTCAGGGGTTAGGAGCATCAACTGTTCTTTCAGAGGACGCCCACATCAGGCAGGCAGCTCACGAACTCCTGTAGCCCCAGGTTCGGGGGATCTGACACTCTCTCAGCATCTTTGGAGAGGCATGTGGTTCACATATATAAATGAA